ATCTGCTTTGATCAGGGACGAATAACGAGAGTGTAAGTTGGTTTGTACAAGAGAGAAAATCTAATTAGTAATTCGTTAATCTGGTTTAATCCAGACGAGTGATTGATTGAGTGAGTGAGTGACTATGTAAACGAACGTATGGATAAACGAATGAATGAATGTATGTCACGCTGACACACCACAAGCCGTGAGTGTTTATATAGCGATTTGTCCTTATTAGACAGGGGATATTGGGGACATTCCTTTATTTTGAAATGTAAGATTTAGACTTTTTCCCTCTTTTTTGAGATTTTGGGTGGCCCTGAAAAGGGCCGTTTTTTTGTGTATTCTAAATAAATCGCTAGATTTATTTGGATGCAGCCTTCTCGGATTTCTTGGGTAAGAGAACGGCTTGGATGTTGGGGAGGACACCACCTTGAGCGATGGTTACTCCGGACAACAGCTTGTTCAATTCCTCGTCATTTCGGATAGCCAACTGTAAATGTCTTGGAATGATTCTGGATTTCTTGTTGTCACGGGCAGCGTTACCAGCCAACTCGAGAACTTCAGCAGCCAAATATTCCAAAACAGCGGCTAAGTAGACTGGGGCACCAGCTCCGACTCGCTCGGCATAGTTTCCCTTTCTCAACAGACGGTGGATACGACCGACAGGGAACTGTAATCCAGCCCGGGATGATCGGGTCTTGCTCTTTCCCTTTACTTTTCCTCCTTTTCCTCGTCCAGACATGATGTGAATTTAGTTAGTGAGACGGTGTCGTCGTGCGAAAGTCTAGTAACTGAATGAAGCGAACGCGACGACTAAAAACACTATTTATACTCGAAAATGGAGTCGAAAACTACGGTGCTCACTATCAAGTCCGCGCTATTTCACGAGAAAAGCTTTCGATCCTATTTTTCGACTCCATTTTCGAGTATAAAAGGAAAATTTCGCGCGTGTTCACTACTCACTTGACTGTTAGACACCGCACTGTCCACATCACGTTAGTACTCTAAATTCAACATGCCGCCAAAGGT